TTCACGCGTTGGTGGAATGCACAAGTGAATTTTCAATCCCGCACAATTACGGAGTCCAATCTGCGGCTGTACTACAAAATTCCCCAGCAGCTTGAGGCACACCACAAGAAAACTCTCTTGTGGTCTTCAGAGCGTTCCACCCTCGCGGCGGGCGCGAACTATGCTGCTCGTCAGGGACTCGTCGACATCCTCAATTCAGATGAGAGCTATACAGATGTTCTTCCAGCCATTCAATTCAGCGCTGTTCCGGACGGCGAACATGATCTGTCGAGTACAGGTAAGTCTTCACTTTTTCACAGAACGAAAATTTACCGAACTCGGCGCAGTGCCCGACATCGTGACCTCCTTTGATTCCATGGCTGCGCGCCCATCGGAAGGTCGGGATTCCGAATTCTCGGAATTAGAACCTGTAGATTCATCAGTCCGCCCCAATCACGATATATTGGACATCACAGGAACTTTCCTACCCGCTCCATCCACTATCCGACCTCCGCAGCCATTGATTCACCGCCAACAGTTATTACCGGGTGCGGCCGCACCAACGGGGAGTACCATCTCGCGCTCTTCGAAACGATGCGCGCCGTGCGTCAAGAACATGTGCCGTCGACGGTTGGAGTGCAACGGCAGGGGTGGGAAGGATTTGTGTACCTGTGGCCATCCTCCGATGGCAAAGGGAGAGAGAGCGCGGGTGTCGGAGACAACAATTATAGCCTATTTAGCGCAACAGGGTCAGAATATTTAGATACTTTGTTCTTGCGTACCGTTCAGCCGCTGCCTCGACTTCACTCTCGTCTCGGTCTCCTTCTATTTCTTACCTTAGCAACCCGTTATCATCGCTGCCCCATTATACAATATAGAATATTCTAAATCCATTGAGTCGTTAACCGAAATCGGGAGCCTGCAGGACATACCGAATGTATTTTTGACTTTCTCAGGAAATCATACCTTGGCAGATATGGGCAGGTGCAATGGCGCGCCCCGCTGCTGTGTGAGTATATCAATTGGGGTATGAATTAAGGAATTGCGGCAAAGAACCAGTTTTTTTTTGATTTGGACGTCGTCGGTGGTGTACGCAATGACGTCGGCGCATTGCGGCGACGCCGGGCAAGGCGAATGTGGCATATGATAGTTTGTGGTGCTAATGAGAGACGGCACCCATTAATTTCTCAGAGAATGAAAGATTCCAGCAAAAAACGTACTTGCTGGGGGCACACTTCCCAAAAAGGAAGAGGAAATCCGGGCGGGGGCGTCGATGACCGCGTTCGGTGGCGAATATTGCAGAGGAGTTCACACCCCTGTGGCGGGCGGGTCGTTGAGGTCTCCGCCCGTGGCAGCGCTCGTTTGGACGAGGTAGGGAACACCTCCGCACCTTGCGAGGCGGTGAGTAACCTGGTGCTCGACACCGGAGGGTTTTGCGTGTGAGCAGGTGGGGCAGTGCACAGTACAAGACGGCTCGCAGGTGTGGCTGTTTCGACCACGGGGGGTTGTCACGGAGTCGTTGCAGCCATCTGCGGCGTTCCTGATCGGGGTGGTATTGGTGAGTGGAAGACACGCAGTTCCGGCGACTGGAGTCGTACCGGGGAGGTGTGGCGAGTTCCCATGTGGTTAGTACATGGTTGGAGTCGTTCTGGATACGCGGGGCCGTGTCGAGGGAGGTAATTCGCGATGAGAGTGATGGAGGCACAAAGAGGACGTATTTGGGGGGTGGAGATTTAATTCAGGTCCCGAGGGGTTTGCAGCATAGAAGAGTGGGCTTTAAGACGTTCTACATCGAATAGTCAAGTGGTTTTCACAGGAAATTAAGATACAGAAGTGGCCGGGGAGCTGAGATGGAAATGAAAGCAGTGCGCGCACGGCACCAGCACAAATGATGGGAGTCCAGGCCGGGACTTGAGGCCTTGAGCTTGAGGACTTGAGTTCTTCATACCGACAAGATTGTTGCCCAGAGTAGTGTAGCGAGAGATAGCCTCAGATGAATGTGTACGCGAGTAAGTAGCCTAGTCCAGGCAGACGCGTTGTATCGCCAAGTCACGCTCGTATGACGCTCGTGATTTTGCGGCACGTGAAATCTTGAAAACCCATTGGCCGACGATAGGCCATTAACTCCGAAAGACACAGGTCTTGAAAGGCTCGATCATCAACGGAACGACGGCATCGACAGTCCAATCAAGATTTCTGACCGTTTTTTTGGGCTGGAACCGCAACCTTTCAGCCAAATTTTACAGCTACATACAGTCCAGGTAAGTATCTGAATCTCCCTCCCTTTCTCTCTTTTTCTCCTCTTTTTTCAACTTGAAAAACTTGAAAAAACCCCGCCGTCCACAGACATAGTACATGAGCCTTTCCCCGTCCTATTTATCACCCCTGGCAAGCCGCAGCACATCTTGTCATCGCCGCTCTAACAGCCAAGATTAATACTCGTTTTTCTGGCTGCGATTGTCTTGATACAATTAATACACCTCGCCGCGCAACGTCCGTCTCTGTCGATCATACATCTTGCCTTGCTCTTACTTTCTCGGCGGTGTCCTCTTATGTTGCGGTATCTCTTCAAATCAAGGCCGTGCACGGCCGGGGATGACTTCTACCGCATACCAGCTTCCTATTACCCAAGACTTGACTTCAACAAATGAAATAGAATCCCTCCGGCTCCCGTTCCATATTTATGTAATCACCTCTCCAGTGCACACTATAGGCTACCTATTCTCGGTCGGCTGTGCTCGGGCATATAAATATCACTGGCACTAACAACGCCCGGCGATGCGTATCCCGCATCAAAGAGATCGAGATGGCCCCTTCCACTCAAGTCTCCTTCCTTGCGCCAATAAAGAAAAAAATCGAATTCTCTGGTTGCAGGGCCTCCAGGAGGATTCAAACCTCCACCTCCTCGATGGACATCACATCATTAACCTAGATGGCCGAGGCAATCCTATGATCCATGAAGGCTGTCAATATCACTTCGCAGGGCGGCTACGTAGGATGCTATCGAAATCCATCCAAAAAAAAGATACACGGTACAACATTTATGCCCACAGGAGGGTTCAAACAGGCTCTATACCCTCGATTGCAATCGTCTCGCGCCAGTCGAGGTACCACGAAGGCTTCTGGATCACCCAAACACATGCAGAGCTTGTAAGTTGTATTGCGGCGCACAACGACAGCCGTGCAGCGCATCTTGATCACGGAAGTACTGGGGATTATTTCAGGACATCTCGGCAACCCATAAATAGCGTACCTAATGTTGAAACCAGAAAAATACATATCTTTGGACTCGCTAATCGACTAGTTGAAAAAAAAGGGCGACTGGAGTAACACACGCCCTCAGGAGGATTCGAACCTCCGCTTCCTGGATGACAATGGTTTACGGCCTACTTTGATATATCGTCAAGGCGATCCCATGATCCGTGAAGCCGACTTTGAAGCATACAAATTGCTGAGGTGATACATTGTCATACAACGTTCATGATAATTGGTCGACTATGTTATGTACTACTTGCTCGAAAAAAAAAACACTTTATATACAGGCTCCAGAGCGGAGAAATTCATGAACGCTTCGAAGTCTTACTTAGGCAAATCTAGTGATCGGCACGGGTCGGGCGACCCGCGGTGGGCCCCGGGTACGGGTCGTTCCGGGTACGGGTACGGGTCTGCCTCAGAAGATTTGCTGGACCCGCCGGCACCCGTATAGACCCGTGTGAATAGGTGTGTCAAAGCATTTTGGCTGAAAGCAACGCTCCACGCAGTTGACAGGCCCAGCTGTAAAGTCGTTATGAGTGTTCCCCACACCTCTAAGGTCCTATGCTCACCTTGTTGAACTTAGCCGAGGCTGCCGGAGCATCACTCCACTCTAGGCAAGACGTGATATTTCAACTCAAAAATCTGGTGGGCTCATTGGTCACACGCAGGGAGACTCATAAAAGCAACAGATATACCAACAATTGATCCAGGACTGAATTATTCAACCAGAAAGTACGTAGCCTTTGACGGGTTGCGCGGGACACGGGTCACCCCACCGACCCGGACCCGTACCCGTACCCGTACATGCGGGTACGGGTTTTGGCGGGTACGGGTACGGGTCAACGCGCCGATACCCGCGGGAGACCCGTGGCGATCACTAGGCCGCAAATCAGCAAGAACTTGAAGTCAAGATGTTGTCGAGGTCTCCCATGATCTACGAACTTCAAAGGCTTGAAGGCCAATGTTACAGTGCTCATGACGTGTTACGAATTATGGGGACTCTGACAGAAAAACCTAAATATACGTCCCGCCTGTTTGACACCAATGTTACGGCATCGTTTCCCACGGTTGAACGAATGTTGAACGATTGCATACACATTGTCAGATAGGTATGTATAACTATCCAGCACCAGCTAAAGTGATCTCCTATGATCTATAAAGGCTTATATATGACCGACATGCGTATTCTCCAGGAAGTCTGTGTTTCCAGTAAGTATTCTTGCGCCGAGAAAAAATAGTACACGTCGTCCTATAATTTATAAACACTTCAAGAGGGCTCGAACCTCCATCCCCACCATCACGTGAGGGTGATCTCTCGTGATCCATAAAGGCTTTCTGAGACCTGCTGATTGCCTGGTGAGATCTCGGATACAGTTTTGGAAAACTTGGAGGAGGATCCCCGTATCGGTGGTGATGCATTGATGGCTATGCTTTGTCTGCATATATCCAAACGTTATCCCAACATTGTACCAAGAATCACTTTCAATCAATACTGTATCGTTTCGACCAAAGGTTCAGGTGACGGGTGACAGGGGCCTGTGAACTGAACAAATTTGATACCTGTGACGGTGACTTTTCAGTTTTCCATCCCAAAAAGGCAATAAATGTCAAAAAAATTCGTTCCGGCGTTCGCCGGACTACCATATAAGGCAATTTCGACGTGATTGCCGAGAAATGAACTATTTGTTCAGGTGACGGGTGACAGCCCGTGAACCTTTGGTCGAAACGATACAGTAGGGCAAAATATTTATTGAACGCTCCCGCCATGCCTTCGGGAGGGTTCGAACCTCCTACTCCTCGGTATGAAGGGGCAAGGCCTAACACAGTAATTCGTCGAGGCGATCTCCCATGATCTACGAAGGCTTACAGGGTCCCATATTTCGTCCCATCTATATTCATCTTGAATTACAGTACCATGGAACGATGCTGACTTGAATGTAGAACAAAACCTTGGGAGGAGCTGAACCTCTCAGAAGCCTGCCGAGTTTGAAAACAGCACGAGAACTGGATTGAAGGAATCTGTTGACGATGATTGTACCTAGATTTGAATTACCTAGGCGCCTGTAGGACGGGGAGAAAGTCAATGTTCAAATGATGGATTTCGGCCATATCCGAGTTGGGGAGAGGAGAAACAGAGACCTTGTAACTAGCGAAGCCTTGAGGTCGTTCAAGTATTTTATGTTGGGGCCGAAGAAAAAGGAGAGGCAAGAACTGTATAATGTTTGGGAGGGTTCGAACCTCGGTCTCGTTATACGGGATGTTCGTCTTCAAGTGATTCACGGAGGCACTACTGCATGCTATTCACTAGCCCATAGATGCGCAAAATAATATGCAACATGTCGAACATACCTTTTGCCTCCTTCACCCGGTGCAATCTTAGTCTGTTCCATATACCGCGTAATAGAAACGGTGCCATGGTGACAAGAATTCAAGTGTTAGTCAGAGCAAAAAATAGTTATTGAAGCAGGACCATGGCAAGCCCTCGAGAGGAATCGAACCTCCATCTCCTCATCAATGGTAAGAAGATCCAATCACATCGGGCTGAGGCGATCTCCCATGATCTGCGAAGGCTTTCCAGGTAGATTGAATCAACGCTCGATCTGGCATCTCGAACCCAGAATGTCAGAATTTGAAGAGAAGAAATTTGTCTTATCTGGGCGGTTTCGCATTTCGAGAATGCCGATCCTGTGTCCATAGTTGCCTTCCACGACGTAGCCATTATGGGGCCATCTGTAGACTCTAGCCGTGACGCACTCTCGTCATTGGTCGACGGGCTCCCAAAAGAGCGTCACGGTGTGGGGCGAGCGCGATGAAATGAACGGCGTCCGCGAGCTGCTTCCCGACCGTACTCGAAGGAAGTCGCCAAAAGATTTCGGCCCCGAGCATCGGCTGGCCTGATCATTCTTGCTTGCTGCAATGAACTCTCCGTTCTTTCTTTCCTCTTGAGTTGGAGGGGAAAACGGCTAGCGGCTGATTTCGATCCAGGAACGGTATAGAACCTTGCCACGTTTCTACCAGCGTAGGCGTGGAATAACTCGAGGGTGTCTATCGTTATGCTCAGCCAGCATCTTGCCGTCCGTCGTAATCGGAGACCGTGCAATGGCCGAAGTTGAACAGCGATGTGACGGTGACGGTCATGCTCTGCCGTCACTTATCTTTCTCTACTTCCACCTCTCCGTTTGCGCTCCATCTCAGGCCCTCAAGAGCACGCAAGGGAAGTCCTCGAGAACATTATATCGACCGATATTTGCTGGAAGGCGAGAAACGCGAGAAGACGCGTCAAACTCGCTGGATCGACGGAATTGCCGGCGGACGCGCGAGTCTTTCCATGCTGGTCTCCTCACGGCGCGCATAACCTTGCAATGCTCTCTGAAAGTAGGAGGAGGTATATTAGTTGTATTCGCTGCGTTTTTCACTCACTATCCAAGTCAGCATGGATTCGGGTAAATGGTTTTTGAAGTTCTAGGCCCGGGCCTGTGGCGTTGAATCATCGACGATCGTTGTGCTCCCGGGCCATGATGGATCCTGGTCCCGTACAGATATCCCTGCGATTCAAGCCCTTTCAAGCCTGGGGACTCGAGTCTATCGAGTAGAAAAGTTCGCCAAACTTGAAGCAAGCACTTGATGCCAAACTTCGGCCGATTTTTAGCCTGAAACCTGGCATCCTCAACGTCGCGGCGTCTTGCGGGCTCGTTGCGGTGATGAGGTCCAGAACATCAAAGGAGAAGAATAGAGAAGAATGCGAAGACATTGAATTCGATTTCTATTTTGACGTGCTTGGTCACCTTGGCCGGGGTCAAGTGACCGAGTGTGGGGTAACATCAGCGCTCTCGTTCACTCTCCATGCCGCCAGTGACGACCGCGGACAGCCCAGAGGCATCGCAAGCGTCAATCCTCAAGGACCGCCGCTTCAAACTGAGCAGGTATGTCTAAGCAAAATTAATGTTAAGTAATGCTGACTCACGACACGCAGAGCCTGCGACCGATGTCGGTAAGAGTATTCATTTACTTCCAAAAATCCAGCAGCTAACGGGCGACGCGACGAAGCCGCCGCCGGATCAAGTGCGACGAGGGCCACCCATGCCAGGCGTGTCTCGCCGCGAGCTCCGCCTGCACCTTCGAAGAGCCGGGTAAGCGCACGCACCCGCACAAGTCGAAACGCACCGCGACCCTCGAGGACCGCATGCACCACCTCGAGACGCTCATCCAAGCGATTCCTCCGGCGGTGTTTGCCGCGGGGAACGCGGGGGACCACCCGTCGTCTGTGGCTATGGATGTCATGCCCGCGAGCCCGATTGCACCGTTCATGTACCCGACCTTCCCGTCCTCCGGCGTGCCTCCGCCTTCGCTGCATGTATTCCCCCTCACCAATCCGTCGGGCCATTTCACCCCTATGGACGTTAAACTGGACAACAACGAGAGTCCGCTGGGACGCATGAGTGCAGATGCGCCGAGCCCCGATCAGCTCGCGGAGGAGACCTCTAGGCTCTCGCTGTCTGCGTCGTACCTTTACTTTGACGATGAGGGCTACACACGCTGGCAGGGCGAGGCTTCTGGCCTTCCTCTGCTCGATCTGCTCGTTGAGCGCCATGTACCGAGCTCTGACTCTTCTGTTCCCCCAAATCTCGCTCCTGTGGAACAAGACTGGTTCCCCAATCGCACCCCTCGCCGCACTGACGTCAACCCCCAGACCCTCTGGCGCCTCATTACCTCCTACGTCGCCCCCGAATTAATGGACAGGTGAGCAACCGCACAAGTCGAATTACGATTCAATTAATTCAGGTGCATTTAGCCTGGTCCAGTGCTACCTCTCCACCTCATACTACATCCTTCCTTTTCTCCACGTTCCCACATTTCTCGCCGTATGTTGGTTGTCCTTGCCGCGCTCAACTGCCGCTGATTTTTATCCGCCAAGGATTATGGCAACCCGCAAAAATGGGGCGAGCCCGGCTTTGCAGCCTTCATCGTAGCCATATGCTGCCTCGCCTCCCGACATATGGACGACCCCCGCGTACGGGCGTCCCCGCAAGATGGTATCTCTGCCGGCACGCAGTGGTTCGAGCTCCTCGGCCGACTACGCACCCTGCCTATCGCTGACCGCCCGACACTATACACGATCCAAGCCGACCTCATAGCAGCAGTCTACGCCGTCGGCCTCGGCAAACTCTCCAAAGCTGCTGCCCTCCTCTCCGAAGCCATAACCATCTCTATCGACGCCGGGCTCCACCGCAGCGCCGACACCTACGACCTCTTCGACCCCGTCGAGGACGAGGTGCGCAAGCGCACCTTCTGGTGCGTGTACATCTGGGACAAGCAACTCAGTGCGCACTTTGGCCGCCCGCCGATGCTGCGGCTACGCGACTGCGACGTGGGGGAGCCTGCGCCCGTCGACGACGAGTACATCACGCGCGATGGGGTCGGCGCGCCGGTCCTCCCGCCAGGCACGGCGTGCCGCATGGCTGCGTTCGTCGTCGCCCTGCGCATCCTCGTCGTGCTCGAGAGCGTGCTCGACGTCCCCCCCGCGCGGCCCCCCGCCCCCGCGGGTGACGGCGCCTTCCTCCTCCGCGCGAGTGCCCTCCTGGGGGGTGCGCGCCGCGTGCGCGAGCTACGCGAGGAGGAGGCGCTGCTGGACGAGGTGCACCGCGGCGTGCCGGCGTTCTTCGCGCACACGCCCGAGACGCTCGCGAGCGAGGACACGATCCGGCTGACGCAGGCGGTAAGGCTACACTGCGCGGAGCAGTTTGTGAGGCTGCTGATATACCGGCATCGGTTCTCGGAGCTGGTGGCGGAGCGGACGGCGGCGGCGGACCCGGCGATGCGCCCGCCGCAGAGCGAGGTCGAGCGGGATGCGATGGTCAAGGCGCATTTCTCGGCGCTGCAGATCGTCGCGGCGCATCTGCTTGTTGCGAAGAAGGGGCTGATGACGTATTGTATGTCTGGTTTTCAAGTATCTCATGCAAAAAGAACTAACCAACGATGCGCAGATGGCGTGCATGTTATTCACCAGCTGACGCAGGCGGGGCGGACCCTCGTCGCGGTGCTCTTAAATTGCAACTCAGAGGCGCTACAGCCGCTCATCCCGCCCGGGCTCGACGCGCTGCGCTCCTGCGTGGGGCTTCTGCGGCGGTTCAGTGGGCGATACGTCTGTGGGCTGAGATCCGGGGATCTGATGGAGGAGTTTTGTCGACGTATGCTCTCTCGCTTTTTTCATCTCAGCCAGCCCATCTCATCATTTATCTATCTATCCATCTTCTAGTGACACAAATACCCCTGGACGCACCGCGGGAGACGTCGGAGACGAACACGAACGCGAACGCACGTCCGCCGTGGATACGGCCCGTGCGCAAGAAGAGCGTCGCCGCGTCAGCGTCGGCGTCGGCGGCGAGGAGGTCAAAGAGCGCAGAGGACGACCACGACCTGTCGCAGCACAGCGGGAGCAGCCCCGAGGCGTTCTCGCCGTCGGACTTTTTGCAGCAGCGCGCGACGCCGGAGTATGCGCAGGGGTTTACGGAGATGGACACGATGGGGATGGGCCCGGCGGGTGGTGGGGTTGGCGGGAACGGCGGGGATGCGCGGATGTTTGCGGAGGTGCTGGCGATGTTTAATGACGGGCCTGCGGATGGGGCGCACGGGTTGTTTTCGCCGGGGGAGTACGATGCGCAGGGACATGGGGCGTTCGGTGTCAATGGGGCGAGTCCCGAGCTGTTCAAGCTGGGTGTCACGTCGCCGTAGTGGGATTCTATGTTTTCTTTCCTGGCTCCCTCGTTCTGTTGTTATTATTGCTGTCTGTACATGTACATATGTAGCACTGTCATTGTCATTCATTTCCGTATGTCCGCCGCCGTACTTATAGCGATACATCC